CACAAGGTGGTTGTTTTCTGTTTGAGAAGAACTCAGCCTAAATATGCAGGGTTTATTTCTTAATCATGTGTGGATGAAACAAAACGTAACTCCAGGTTTGTTTGTAATGAGGAAACAACATTGTAACATAGATCAGAAAATAACATAATATAGGCCCTTTAAATTTCAATTCTTGTGCTCAACAATGGCAAATAGTCTCCACTTGGAACTGGGTTGTGTTTAAAGATACAGCACCAAATAAAAATACTACTGGTACCCAAAATAAAATTGAAACCAAAAGCTGGTTCAGAAATTGCTCAATAGGAAGAAAGTTGCGGTCAAGTGTTGCCACAAATTAACAACAAAACAACTGCTTTTCTCCAAAGAAATACTAGTAAATTTAATTTATTAACATTTCAGTTCTGTTTTGTTAGATGAGTAATACAGGAAAGAGTGCCATTCAGGAACCAATACTGAAAATCTGGTATTGCTCAAGTACTGGAACTTGGAAAAAAATGAAAAGTACAGCATGGCAAGGTGGCAGTGGTTGATTTTGAGTGTTTGGTCATTATATTTAGGACAATAACTCTACTTTTGGTGTTTAATAGAATTTCCAAGATAGGGTTTGAGGTAGGTAGAGATTTTTACGGGTGGTGAAGGCCGTGCAAACGTTAACTCAATTGAAGGGTTGTAAAGACCAAATATTATTGAAATATTAATGGTAAATTGCCTTTGAAAGTTAAAATAGATTTACAGCATCTACAGTCCCTGACAAAAGTCTTGTCGCTTATCCATTTTGTAGAAACAAAAGCTTATAACCTGACTTTAAATTAATCGATTGGTTTTAGAAATGTCTCATATGAAGCTAAAACCCTCCCAAATTATGCTCAATATACTAAAATAAATTTGCTTCACTGAAGAAAGATTGATCATTTAATGAACACAGAAAGGTCAGATTTTGGCAAGACAAAAGTTTTGTCGCCTACAGAAAATTTAACAAATAATTTACTTCAAATACAAAAATGTTTTGCATAACATCAGTGAATTAAGTAGTGGTGCTGTGAGATCCATATTATAATATCTTGTATGACTTCCATGAGCTTGAAGGACGCATCCATGCGGTTCGACAATGGTTCATACAATTTGTTGATGAAGTCATCAGGAATAGCAAAGAAAGCGTCTTACATGCCTCCCAGAGTTCATCAAGATTCTTTGATTTTGTCTTCCATGCTTCTTCTTTCATTCTACCCCAGACATGCTCAATCATGTTCATGTCTGGTGACTGGGCTGGCCAGTCCTGGAGCATCTTGATCTTCTTTGCCTTGAGAAACTTTGATGTAGAGATAGAAGTATGCGATGGAGCACCATCCTGCTGCAAAATTTGACCCTTTTTATGGTTGGGAATGTAAGAGGAGCTAATACTTCTTGATATTTTAGGCTATTGATATTGCCTTCCACCCTGCAAATGTCTTGCACACCCCCATACTGGATGTAACCCCAGACCATGATTTTTCCGCCACCAAACTTAACTGTTTTCTGGGTGAATCTTGGATCCATGCGGGCTCCAGTAGGTCTCCTGCAATATTTGCGGCGGCTGTGATGTAATTCAACTGAGGATTCATCTGAAAAATCCACCTTCTGCCACTTTTCCAGTGTCCATCCTTTTAGCAGGCTGTGGGCCTTGGCAAATGCCACACAGTTTTTTAATTGCCTTTTGTTTAGTGCTGGTTTCTGTGCACTGATTCGACCATGGAGGCCATTTCAATACAGAATTCTACAAACTGTTGTGGTTGACACAGGGACTTGAGGTGACCAGGCCTGGTGGAGCTCTGCTGCAGTGGAAAAGGGGCTGGCCTTGGATTTTCGAATCAACAAACGGTCCTCCCGAGCAGTTGTCTTGCGGGGTCTGCGAGACCTGGGCTTGTCAAAAACATCTCCAGTCATTTCAGATCTTTTTCTTTGTCTTTGTACTTGACGCTGAGACACATTGAAGGTGTCACCACCTCAGCAGTGGATCTGGTCTTCAGACTCTTGATAATTAATGCTTTGGTCTCAGGAGTGGATCTTAGGCATGTTGTCAGAGGTCAAGTTGCAGTTGATGTGAAGGTCTGGTGTGCTGGGGTTCTTTTTATACACACCCACTGATTGATTGATCAGTAACTGATCACAGGTGAGACTGTAATCTAGGATTGGGTGCGTCATATGACAAGGCGACAAGACTTTTGTCTTGCCAAAATCTGACCTTTCTGTGTTTGTTAAATGATCAATCTTTCTTCAGTGAAGCAAATTTATTTTAGTATATTGAGCATAATTTGGGAGGGTTTCAGCTTCATATGAGACATTTCTAAAACCAATCGATTAATTTAAAGTCAGGTTATAAGCTTTTGTTTCTACAAAATGGATAAGCGACAAGACTTTTGTCAGGGACTGTATAGTACTTTTGGGCTTGGGGATTCCAGTTTATTTTACACCACTGAGATTAAATTTCTGATCTATGTTATAATGTTGTATCCTCAACAAAAACATACCCAGAGTTGTGGTTTGTTTTATTCACGCATGTTTAACACAAAACCCCTGCATATTTAGGCTATGTTCTTCTTTCAGACAGAAAACAGTCTGTTCTTTAAACTTCATACACCTTCACTAGAATCATAGGAAAATTTTCAGCCCTGAAATTGCCAATCTTTACTGAACTAAAGGTAAAAGGTCACTATTAACTTGAAAACTACCACTACATGACATCACAAGGTGGAACAGAGCATTTTGAGCTTTACAGATGTAGACAGATTTATAATAAAAGATTACTCAAACATGTGTGAATGAAACAAAAGACAACTCCAGGTATGTTTTTGATGACATATCAATGATCCAACATGCCTTAAAGCTCACAAGGGTCAATTTGTGTGACATAGGACCTTTAATTGTTTTACAAGTATCATGTTTTTAAAATTGAAACAGCCCATTTGGCGTACACTGTGATGCATTGTAGGAGGTCTGACTTGCTTTGCCCTTCCATTTTACCCAAAGGACAAATATCCCCTAAATCCTGTAACTAATGAAGAGTAGATCTTATTAGTAATGTGTGGGATCTGTGGGATGCAGGAACTAAACTAGGCCATAATTGAAATAAAGGAAAGGAAGTAAGCGTAACAGGAAGACAGTGTCCATCCCTGTTGAGCTACAAAAACAAAAGGCACATCGTCTCGCTCCCATGGGGACCAGACAGAGGGAGGAGGGGTGGATAGAGGTTACCACGGTGACCGGTCTGTCACTAGCCCCGGAGCACTGTCTCGGCCTGTTCAGTGTACATAAGATTCAAGAGTCAGCAAGATCAAAATCTGGCTTCGAAAGCACACAGGCTCTGCTAAACCAACCACAGCTGGCACAGGACTACAGGCTAAACAAAGGTACGAGTGAGAAAAGTCCACAGCACAGCACTCTGCTCAGACCCCACCTGATGTACACTGAACCACCGGTAAATTAGGGCTCCCACTCAGGGCTAGTGGAGTCAAAGAAAACATTTGTGAGGTTCAGGCAGTGGAAAAATATGGATAAATGAACTTTACTGTACAAAACTTAGACGACTTTGAATTGCCACTTGGTAAAATGCTGCTATCATTTAAAAAACAAAATGCTGTGCTTTCTAAATTACATTTGATTCAAGATTTTTCTTTTTGTGAATAAATACAATAATAACACTGACTAGGCAAAATGGCAATAAAAACCTAAAATAAAAAACATGAAGCAGGATTTCTTCCTTTTTGTTTAATGCAGCTCTATGGTAAAAAAAAAAAAAAAAAAAAACATAGACTATACTAATCTGCTAGCCGCCGCGTTCCAGAGATAGGATGTGAGCATGGGGGTGCTTCCGGCTCCATCGACTCTGGCTCCAATTGACTTAACGTTGAAAAATTGCCATCCCTCTCTCTGTAACTGGTGGTCTTTCTCTGGTCTTACAATGTTCATATTAACCTGCTCCACATCATCCTGGTGTTTTTATTTCACTATTTTTCACTTTTTCTCTATGTCTGTAAATAAATTTCGATTCCTAATATGGACCTGGCTCCAGATTTGCTCGTGTAACTGCTAGCATCATGAGTGTCACTTGACTGGAGCCACTCCCTCAGTCCACTTCTTTATACAGTCTATGATCAAAACAGACTCTTTTCACCACCCACTCCCCCTATTGGTCAGTACCTGTAAGACTCTTAGTGATTGACAGATGAATATAACCAATCACAGTGAAGAACTTTCAGAAGCCACAGGTAGCTTTAGTTATCTCTTAAAAACTGAATAAAAGATATGAAGAAATTATGAACTGTGATAAAGATCAAAATTGTGATTTGTCTCTTGAAAATAGTGATTTTTTTTTTTTCTGCATACACCACCCACCCCTAATCTGACTCCATAATTGTAAATGAACTGGCAATTACTGCAATACTATATATATATATATATATATATATATATATATATATATATATATATATATATATATACATACACATAACTTCTATATTGTTCTGTATTTCTCTATATTGCAAACTACCTTGGAAAGTGGAAAGTGGACAACTTAATATTATGTATTCACTGGCCCACACATTTTAACATTGTAGGCACTGCTATCTACAACACCTTTATTTATCTCACACTAACAATTCATTTAAAATTAACATAATGTAGACTTAACCTTAGCAGACTAGCACAATGTGGGGGAGAGCAGTTCAAATCTGTTATTGCAAGTGTAAAAACCTATTTTGGTCAAAGTATGCTTTCTCTCTCTTTTTTCTGAAACAGTGTCTATTTCCAGTCTCTTCTGTTCCTGTTAATATTTTGTATTAAGCCCGTCTTGTTGGCAGCCTATGTGTTTCTCCATGTGTGGACAGAACAGAAGGCAGCTCAGATAGTGAACACCAATCTGCAGTTTCATAGCCAGCTATGCTCATGCCTTTGTTTGCATTGCAGTCATTTCAATGAGCTCAAATCTTGTGTAGTTTGACGTCTGTTTGTTCTTGTTCCAGGTTGATCAAATGAGCTGTTTTAACCAGAAGATCGAAGACTGCAAGCTCTGATATTCAGCAAACTCCATCGAAGAACAGTCTATTCAATCACAATGGCCTGGGACTAAAGACTTTCATTTTGTGGTAAGTTTTATACATAATCTCCCTTCTCAACTCACATTGTTTATTACAGATTTTATAAGGAGTTTAAGGCTGCGTTCTCATGTTTATTACCTAACCGCACTGCATATGGGTCACATGTGTGGAAGTTTTATGCATGAACTTTCCAGAAAGCGTGCCTTGATAAATAGACAAAATTGCTGAGGAGTGATGACATAGTGTACCTCAAGTAATGAAAAATCTGTATGTGAAGTACAGCATAATAGTAGCGGTGTGTAACGTTTCAGTTGGGAGGCTGTCACCTTCTTCTTTCTATGGCCCTGCTTAGAATGACATTAAACAGATTTACCTTACATTTACTCAATTACAGGTGGTTTTATAGCTTAAAATACCTAGAAAAACAGACATTCTGACTGTGAGTGGGGATGCCTCTGTACAGATTTGGCCTGTAACAAACAACTTATAACCAAATAGTAGTATTGCCATATTTTACTACTACAACTAGTACCCATAATGTGGCTACCACATCTGTAATGACTACTTCTTACTCCTACAAAAAAATGGTAGTACTGATAGAGCTACTTCAACTCAATCAACTACTTAAAGGGCCCATGGTACGCTATTTTCTGATCTATATTATACAGTTGTCCTCATCAATAACATACCCGGAGTTGTGTTCTGTTTTATTCACAAATGATTAACACACAAACTCTGCATATTTTGGCTGAGTTCTTCTCTCAAAAAAAAAAAATAAATAAATCCACTTTGTGATGTCATGGAGTAATACAAGAATCTCTATACACCTTCACGAGTATTATTATTGTCCCCTGAAATCTCTACTGGACAAAAGCTAAAAACTGTTAATTTGAAAATTACTGCTTCATGGCATCACAACGTGGAACAGAGCATTTTGAGTTTTGGAGATATAGACAGACTAATAACTCAAGTTACTCAAACATGTGTGAATAGAAAAAAACACAACTCCATGTATGCTTTTGATGAGGTAACAACATTCTGTCACAGCTTGAAGTTTACAGAAGTCGATTTTGCATAATGTAGGACCTTTAAAACATACTTGTACAGACTTGGATTCTGACTGTTATAGACAATTATAAAATAATTGACAAAAATGTAAATGAAATGCCAGAGTTATCATTGGATGCAATTTGGAGATAAATGCAAAAGTTATGTAATTTGATGACATCCATATGAACCATGTGTAGGCCTGCTGCTCACATGTGGTTTGACTTAAAGAGCTCACAGGTTAGGCTCTTTCCACAGGCTGCCACAATACGTAACATGTGTTAAAGAGGCATGGTGCAAAGATTCACTGGAAAAGTTTAAAGGGCACTTTATGCACTATTTTCTGATTTAATGTTATATTATTGTTTCCTCATCAGGAGCATACCTGGAGTTTGTCTTTGTTTCATTTACACATGTTTAATGTATAAATCCTGCAAAGGCTGAGCTCTTCTCTCAAACAGAAAACACTGTTCCACCTTGTGATGTCATGTGGTAATACAGGAAGTGCTCCACTGTGTTTTTAAACTCTATACATCTTCACTAGAATCATTTGGATAATTTCAACTCTGGAATTTCCAGTCTCTACTGAACTAAAGGCGTTAACTTGAAAACATGACATCACAGTGTGGAACAGAGTTTTTTTTTTTGCTTTGGGCATGTAAACAAATGAATAATAAAACTGAAACATGTGTGAATGAAACACAACACAACTCGAGGTTTGTTTTTGATAAGAAGTAACATTATAACATGGCTTAAAGCTCACAAAAGTCAATTTAGCATGATATAGGACCTTTAAAACATGTGGAGTTTGCATCATAGTCTTACTAAATCCACTGGTTTTTCACTGCTTGTAAAGAGAGAGCAAGAGACAGAACCCGGGAGGTGGAAATTATTAACAAATTGGACATGCTTACAGAAGGCTAGCAAAAAAAAAAAACCCACAGCGTACAAAGGTTTTTAGAGTGAATGCGTTTCACCATTTTTGTTGAACATCAAACACGTAAACAGGACTATGAACACTGAAATTGATTACAGGCTTTTGAAAAAGTGTTTAAATAAATTTTGTATTTTTTCTTTTCTTTCTTGTTTTCATACTTTTTAACAGTGTTTGGTAATGTGTGCATTGTGTCACCATGGTAACTGCTGATCATTCCACCAATAGCGATGCATGTAGAACACCCAAAATATTAATACTGCACCAAAGATTCCCAGACATTTTAAACCAAACCAAATATCCATACAGCGCAAATAACCCAACCCCCACCAGCGTTACAAATTTCTCTGGCACTTCCATTAGTCAAGAGGAAGACCCCATGAGGAGACTTGGAAAAATTCAGTTGACCTCTTTTATGGCGGGTTGTCATGGTTGAGAGGGGAAAGCCAAGGCAGCCGCAGAGCCATGTGCCAAGCGTGTTATGATGATCCCAGATGAAACCAGGGCTCACAGAGGGGCTTTTGTTGGGCACTGGTGGTCGGCCATATCCCACCCACCTGAAGACGAGTGCTGGAGTCAGTCAGTTTAACGTCCACGCACTGTACACAATGTGATTCTGTACTCCGGGTGGGTTTGGGGAAAATTATGCCGAAAATGAAGACAGCAACTTCTGTGTTCCCATTAAAATGTCAGTTAGGATTAATACGTTAATATGTGTAATGTTTTTTTTTTAGGTGGTGAAAATTGAAATAAAATCAGTATGGATGTGAAAAAGAAGGAGATGGATCTTCTTAGCAACACTATAGCTGCATATGCACACATTAAAGGTAGGTTGTACAACATATGGTTTCACTTAAAGGTACACCGGTGCACTATGTAACTTTTCCAGCAGGGTGTCCGGGCCACGCTTGTGTGTGGGAATGGTAATACTTTGCCTGAAACTCACACTTTGTCATTAAACTTATATATCTTGTATTTAATCAATACCTATATCGACCGAATAGATTAGCCTAATGCCATACATTGGTAGCCTGATTCATCAGCTGGTCTCACTTCGTGGAAACCGAATTAGGATTCGTTCACTCGATGGTAGGCGGGTACTTTTTGTATATGACGCATGTAATGCGCCAAATCCCATAGGAAGAAGGACAATAACGTCATTCCCCTTGATAAAATTCACCAAACATTCTCTTTGTTCCGGCTTTAAATCCTCAAGCTCAGGAATCATTGCCAACACAGAATGTATGGCTTCATCTACATCCATCTCGACCGCTTTGTTTACTGTTGTGCTGTACCACAAAAGGGACCCAGACAGGAGGTTGAATTTGACGTCATGGCTTCACAGCTCTTTGCTGATTGGCAGCTGCGCGGTCTACAACTTCCAGTGTTCTTGCAAACCGTCTAGTGTATTCCAGTTCCTGACCTAGTCGCTGGAGAGAATTGAAAGTGAGCGGAGGCACTAGGTGGCACCAGCCTGGCTAATACTTTGGAACATTCTAATCTAGACAAATCAATGAAAGCTCAATGGAGACTAACATTTTCACCAAAGTTGCATAGTCCACCTCACCTTCAAAGGTCCCATATTACGCATTTTCTGATCTGTTATAATGTTTATTCCTCATTAAAAAAATACAGTGCATGGAATTGTGTTCTGTTTCATTCACACATGTTTAACACACAAATCCTGTGTATTTACACCGTGTTCTCCTGAATGAAAACACTGTGTTTCACCTTGTGATGTGATGAGGAAATCCAGGAAGTGTGCCACTGTATTTTTAAACAACATATAGCTTCAGTAGAATGATTTGGATCCTGGAATTCACAATCTGTACTGAACAAAAGGTAAAAGGTAGCTGTTAACTGGAAAATGTCATGACATCACTAGGTGGGACTTAGCATTTTGAGCTTTGGAGATGTAGACAGACTAATAATAGAGGACTACTCAAACACAACTCTGGGCATGTTTATGATGTGGTAACAACTTTCTAACATGGCTTAAAGATCACAAGAGTCAGTTTTGCGTAATATAAGACCTTTAATAACATTGTGTAAAGTCAAAGATGCCCTTTTCACATTCACGTCACATTAACATTGGACTAATTTTGAGTGGGCTCAAACCTGGAACTAAACCAGGACTAGACCAGGACTACACCAGAACAGGACCAAATCAAGTCTGCATTAGGGCAAACCAGAGCTCAAAGCAGAAGTGTGAACCCCACCTATTGTCCATTTTGTAACATGACATTCTAATTTTGTGTGTCTTTCCTTACCTCAGCCAACCCAGAGAGCTTTGGGCTGTACTTTGTCCTTGGAGTCTGCTTCGGCCTGGTTCTGACCCTTTGTCTCCTGGTCATCCGTATCTCCTGTAAACCTCGGACCAACATCTCCCCCTCCACGCCTGAGAAAAAACAGTTAAAGGACATTAGCGAGGAGGACGATGAGAGCGAAGATGAGGATGAAGAAGTAGAGGAAGCAGAAGCCACACCCATTACGTTGCCAACCACAGAAATCCCAAACGGAAATCACACCAACCATTCCGATGGGACTCTGAGCGTGAATGTATTTACCTCAGCTGAAGAGTTGGAGCGGGCACAGCGGCTGGAGGAGAGAGAGCGGATCATAAGAGAGATATGGAGGAACGGGCAGCCTGATATTCTGGGCACAGGGACTGGGACTATAGGCAGAGTGCACTACTACTAACATTTACAAATCACCAAATAAACACTGGGAAGCATTGTTTTTTTTGTTGTTGTTGTTTTTTTTTACTACGAGGACACATCAAGTTTCTCATGACTGCTTCAACTATGGGACCTGAGATGGGACTGAAAATATGTGGTGATCCATGACGTAGGCTCTGTTTTATTGCACTTCCAATGCTTTCTACATGGGATAAAGCCAAAAGTTATTAATCATTATGAAATGCAATATTGTTTGGGTGCTGAGGGACACTTGAAGATGTCATTACAGAATATGTAGCTTGATTAAATGCACAGAAATTGTTACGAAATATTTTTTGTATGTAATAAACCATTAAAACACATCCATAGCCTAAATGTTAATGTTATGTTTTTTTTTCTAATGGTGTTTTAGAGCGATAATTTTACCTGAAATCTGGGCTATCTTTAGCTATATTGATGCGCAATAACCATTATGTAGCCTAATTTCAATGTTGTATTGTATTTCAGTGTATTCTCTTTTATTTCAGTCAAGCAGTGGAGAAGTTTTTATACTCAACACTATCAGTGAAAAGGAAAACATATTTATTTATTTATTTATTTATGAAAAATACTTAGTGGATGAGCCCTGATCTTTTCTGCATCCTTCTGCAATGGTCACCTGAGGATCGCTCATGGTGCAGCTGATTGGAGAAGGTAGGTTTAAAAAAAAAAAAAAGGAATAAAGCATGGGGGAAAAAAAACTAAATAGGGTTAGCAGAAGCACTGTGTTTTAGTTAGTTAGGATAGACTATTAACTATAGACATAGACTAAGCCTTTATAATAATGTGGTACGAACCACAGTGACAAGAAAATAGTTTTATCTCCCCACACAGCTTATCTGCTAGCATAAGGAAACAAGAGTCTTTTGTTTGCAGTTTATCATTTGTTGTGGTGGGAGGACCTCAGGTTAGTGCCAATATCACAACATTACTGAAGAAAAGTGTTCTTTGTAAGAACGAGAGCTGCCAAAATAGACAACAAAACATTTGAATTGTAGTTGTATTTATTTTTCCCGGTGGATATATTATGTACAAATAATTAATCTGACATTTTTCCACAGAAGAAGAAGAACCTCAAAGTCAAACTACAAAAGGTTCATTGGTCTATCATGTGGTTCTTCACATCAGTGGAAACTGAAACTTGTGTAGATAACATCCTTTATGATGTTACTTAGAACTATAGTTGAATGACACCATCTGCATGCTTTGTTGTGGTCTTTTGCAGCCTATGTTAATCAGCAAGGCATTTTAGCAACAATGCAAACGTGCTATTCTTGGGCTGGGTATAAAATAAATAGATTTCAAATTCCTCCCTTGTGTAACTTGGTTTTATTGCCTCCAGTAAAATCCTTCATTTTAAAATGTCGTTTTGAATTTGTAACGGTTTTATTCCCATTCCCCATGAGGCTTTTGTACAAGATCTAATCCTTCATCCAATCTCCATTTTCTAATAAAGGCAATATGGGGGCTCAGCTATTCATTTAGCTCTAATTTGAGCTCAATTAGATTTTTATTGTTTATCTGAGCTAGTTGATGTAATGTTATCTCGTAGATCTTAAAATGCTTACTGGGAGTGACTGAAAAATACTGTCAGGTTATTTTAATCTGGATCTATTTTGTGAAATAAGAATCTGCTTCATCAGCTCAACCTGGTGTTTACGTCCGTCTATTTATCCTCTGTCAAACAGGGAGCGTGACCCTGCAGCAGCCATTATTCAACACTGTTTTTAAAAATAGTATGTTCCCATGGTGGTTTCAGAAGCTCTGGCTCTTTGATGAACTCCAGATGTTGGCCAGATGTGCTTCAATGTGGGCAACAGGACTCCCTTAAGCACAACGTGCTCAGGATTCGTATTATAGCCCAAACCAGGTAATTACAAGTGGACAACATAAGGTAAATGACTTTCCCAATATCACCATGTTTATATACGCCCCGATACACCCCGTGTGTACAGCCTTTCAGTCGTTATTGCTCTCGTTTTATCAAAATTGGTTTACCTCTAATCTATTTGCATAGTTAACATCATAACAGTAAGTGAGCGTATTGCGCCGCTTTATATATACACACGTACACGGGTATGCACTGCCCCCCAGTGGCTGTATACAGCATTACAATGGTTCCCAAATAGTTTGTAGGAAAATAAAATAATAAAATAATGTGTTGAATGTTGCACTGTGTAACTTTTTTGGTAGACGGTCTGCCATCTGCTTGTTTCCTTGCTGATGTCATTGCTTTGCTTTGAATATACCACAGTACGGCATTCGACTTATGAACACATATCATTTACACAGTTAAGGGTGTGTTTGTGCTCAAAAATACACTGAAAAGCACGTGTTCTTACTGTGAGAGAGGTTGCCTTCCCAAATCTAACCTGTAACTTTGCCTGGTAGCCTCTTCTGCTTGTCTCCATGGATATAGAAAAGTTCAATGTCATGTGTCACTTTCAAGGCAACACAATACTGTCTCCATGAAAACAAGCAGGTTGCGAATCTTCCAACAGAAGTTACTCTGGAGTGTTTCACAGTATGGTAGTAAGCCTTTCTATCTTCATGGAGACCAGAATAGACCAAGTTACAGGTCAGATCTGTGGAGAGGCAACCCCGCTCACAGTCAAAATGACTGTTTTTCTAGGTATTTTGAGTTATAAAACCACCTGTCATTTAATAAATATAAGGTAGAGCTGTTTAATGCCATACTGTGGAACATTCCAGGCAGAGCAATGCCATATCCATAGAAATTAGCAAATGACGAACCCCCAACCAAAAAATTACACCTTTAAAACAACTGACAATAAAATCATGAAGAAAGAAAGATAGAAAAAGGATTCCATATCAAACTACTTGAAAACCAACACATTACATTACATTCAATACATATGAACAGTTCAGTAGAAGAATAGTTCTGGTAATGAGGTAAACATGCCCCTTGGTGTTCAACAATAAAACATCTCATTGGAATGCTAGTCACCAACAATATTACTTAGTAATACTAATAAAATAAACTTAGTCTTTGCTCTTATGAAATTTCCAGCATTTAGAAAACAGTAACATTTGTGAAGTTTAAGTCTGTATGGATTATATGATCCAGTATTGCCGTGTCCATTGCTCAGTGCGCTGATGCTATCTGAACCACGTTCCAGTGTAAAACTCTGTATTTCTGCTTTGTTTTGTAAGGATCAGCAGTTGTGTTCATCACTTCTTCATCTTCAGTGCCTGAACTTCCCCCTGTAAATACAGACATGTTAAACCCCAGTCATGCTTTGTGGTCCATCTGTCTGGAGCAAGAAAACCAAACCACACACTGACCTGGAGTGCTGTTCTTTTGTTTTTTTCTTCTCGTAATTCGTTTTTCACTTCCTGCATGTCATGTCTGCAAAAAGGGCAGGATTCTGAAACTTGTGGACATATTAAAGGACCTATATTACACAAAATTTACTGAATTGTGAGCTTTTGGCCATGTTAGAACATTGTTACCTCTTCAAAAATATACTTGGAATTGTGTTTTGTGTTTTACGTGTTTAAGTAATCCTTTACTATTATGTACATCTGCAAAGCTTAAACTGCTCTTTCAGAGTAGCTCCTTCCAGAGTGAAGGGATTTGGAGTTTAAAAACACAGTGGAGCACTTCCTGTATTACCACATCACACATCACAAGGAGGAACAGAGTGCTTTCTGTTTGAGAGAAGAACTCTACATATGCAGGATTGGTGTGTTAAACATGTGTGAATGAAACAAAACACAACTCACATGTTTGTGATGAGGAATGACAGAAAATAGCATGGGCCCTTTAAGTATTTTTGTAGGTTCTATTTTTGCAAATTTGCTAAAGTCTTACATATAAAAATATTACAAAGGGCTTATTAATATCACAAAGCGATAGGCGTGGGGCACGGCATAGGCGTGGGCAAGAGCCGATCATTGACACTTGCGGCTATGTTTATTTGTATGATTATTACAAGACTACAGCTGCATAGGAGTTCTTGCAAAAACAGGAAACAACAATAAGAAACTGTGTATATATAGGAGATTAAACTCTAGATTCACTTTCAGATCTTCAGGTAACTCGTTCACTAACCCCTTCTAAGCACAAACTTGTGGCTTGTACGTACTTGTATTGAGTTTGCAGCAGCTCCAAAGCCAACCTCAGCTCCTGGAGTTCTGCCTGAAGACTCTCCACTGTGGGCTTGTCTCTTCCAGGCAGTACTTTCCCATCCAGCAAGACTTTGGGAGGAGTAGGCCGCACTGGAAGGGGGGTCCTCGAGGGCTGTTCAGGTTTTGCAGGAGAAGCCAGAGCATTTTCTGTTGGCTACAATTAGTTTATAATTTATGAGTAGCTTTTAAAGGTCCTATGTTACTCAAAATTGCCATGTTATAATGTTGTTACCTCATCAAAAACAGACCCGGAGCTATGTTTTGTTTCATTCACACATGTTTGATTAATCCTTTATCTGTCTAGATTTCCAAATCTCAAAATGCTCCATTCCACCTTATGATGTCATAGAGGCGGTAGTTTACATGTTAACCCCTACTTTTTACCTTTTGTTCAGAGTTAGGCAGTTCCAGAGCTGAGATTATCCAGGCAATTCTAGTGAAGGTGTATTGAGTTTAAAAAAAACAACACTTGTATTACCACATGACATCACAAGGTGGAGCAGAGTTTGAGAAAAGAACTCAGCAAAAAAGTATGCAGGATTTGTGTGTGAAACATGTGTGAATGAAACAAAACACAACTCCAGGTGTATGTTTGCGATTAAGAAACAACATTATAACATGGATCAGAAAATAGAGTAAACCAATGTAATGTAACCATGGCAACAAACCTTTTTCAGATCAGATGGTTTGTTTTCCTGGAACGTTTTGGGTGTAGACTCTGCTTCTGTCTTATCACCGTCACTTTCCTATAAAAGAAACAGCATGTTATTACCAGTTTTTCTCAGTATCCACTGCACATATTCTCAGTAAACAGCTGCATATTGCTAAGATAAAATTAAGACAGATACATAGTGGAAATGCCAGAACAGGCCTGTACTTGTTTTACCAAAGACTGGAAATGTTGCCATTGATTTTAATCCACCACTAATCCAAGATATAACATGCAGATCACTTATTATGGCCTTTTATAAACTTATCAATATAGAAACATGAGTAAAAAGAGTTAGTGTGGTATAAGACCCGAGCGTGTATTATCTGTGGATGGGTCTCACCTGTGCTCCCTGGGGCTGGTTTGTAGGGGGTCTCCTCTGAGGGGGTTTGGCCCTATTCGCTGTAGGATGGCTCAGCTTTTCTGTCTGGATGTCAACACCATCAAACTGGTCCTTTGCTTTCTCTTCCACTGGTTTTGGAGAAGGAGGTGCAGCTTCACCGTTAGCACTAAAAATCAAGATAATGCATATTAGTAAGTGTGTGCAAAAATATTGAAATATATTGAAGTATTGTTATGGTGGGCTGCAGTATCAATATATCGCCAAGAGCATTTTTTGGTATCTTTTAGCAATCTTTTGTGTGACTGCACTACAGTTTTGGTGCTCATTTGTGGAAGGAAACTTGTTTGCGCAATACACTTGACATATTAACTGTTTTGATGATAAAAGTAGATGTATTTAATATTAACTTTGCACAAGTAGTGGTCTAACGAAGAAATATTGTCGCTAAAAAACAGCAATATATCATACCTGAGTTAAGATTACTTTAAGAAAGTTAAGAAAGTTTGATCATGATTTGGGTAAATGTCACATCACAAGTAAAATTATCTACCAATGGAACACGAGTTTTTTGTATCTAACATTAGAAAACAACTCTTGTTCTTAATTTAAGTCATTATAACTTAGTAGTAGAGTGTGTGATATATTGATTATCACATGTATTGCCATATCGTGATAATATTGTGAGCCATGTTGTGTATCGTATCGAATCAGGAGGGACTTCAATTCCCAGCCCTATTCATTAGTGATTTTTGTATTTTTCATCAGCTTTTTTATAAAGCTGATGTATACCATAGTTTTTTTTAGACAGAAGACAAGGCATGTTTTGTCCTCCTTGTTTGGCGTGTAGTTCAGGAAACAGGAAATGGGCTGCCCCTGTCTGTTTAGCCCAATCTGAATTATCCAAGAGTTTCCACTGTGCCACATAAGGTCGGGCATCCTGGCATTCTTTTTTTAAGTAACCATAGCAACCAGCGGAGCCAAGTAAAACCTTTACCATCTAAATGGTGCCAGCATCTGTGACATTTCCCAAAGGCTTGTGCTTCAGAAAGCTTCCAGAAAGAATTAGTGTTTTTTCTGGGGCTCTAGTTACAGCTCCAGGTCTAATGTTAATGTACAGATAAGAGGCACAGCACAGGAGTCACTTACTTTGGGGAAAGCTTTGAGACGGGCTTGACTGGAGGAGTCCGAGGGAGGGAAGGCAGCTTGACTTTAGTTGGAGGATTGCTTCTCAAGTCTTTGGGCTCAGTTTTTTCATCTGAAGAGTGAATGCATCAGATAGATTTTGTTACTGGTCAGGTTTTCTTTGAAGGTGCACAGTGTAAGTTTTCTGGAGAGCCCGTCAAATACTTTTTTGCATGGATACAGTATGTTATAGCTTTGTCTGGAATGTTTCACTATATGGTATTAAACCTGTCTATTTTCACGGAGCCCAAACCAGACCAAGTTACAGGTCAGATTTGTGGCGAGGCAGCACCACTCACAGTCAGAATGCATGTTTCTTCTAGATATTTTTGAGCTATAATACTGCCTGTAATTGAATAAATGTAAGGTAGAGTTGTTTAATGCCATCCTGTGGAACATTCCAAGCAGAGCAATGACATATCCATAGAAACAAGCAGGCGAAAGACTCTCCAGTAACCAGACAATTTACACAGCGCACCTTTAATGTTGTCTTCAAAGTTAAACATTGGCATAAGGGCTTTTTACCTTTTGGTTTTGCTGCACCATTTTTATCCATAACTGGAGGCTCAGCTTTCACTAAATGAACAAACAGAGAAACTCTATATTACGCATAGAGAGATGTATTTTATCTGTAAACATATATATATATATTTGCATATTTGTTTTTCCACATGCATTGCCAAGTGAGTGATATTGTTCAAATATATTTCACAGGTGTGGTGTTTTCTGTGATAAGAGCCAAGGCTTTTGTGGAACAGCTCAGTGACTAAAGTCTAATTCCCCTCTCACAGTTCACAATTTTCCATGATGTTCAGTGCAAAATAATCTGCAAATTAATGTACATAACAACAAAAAACTAAAGAAACCAAAACTGTCATTTCAACCAATTATCTACAACCCTGTGAATCTGTTATATTTTTATACAGGAAGTGGATGGTGATGTGAAATGTGAAGCAAAGAAAAGAAGTACACAGAAGCCTACCTTGAGGATGCAAAACATTGTGCAACATTTCTCAAGCTAACCTCTCGGGGTAAGAGTGCTTCTTGTGCAAATCTGTGTAGCTAGAGTTGCCCTCTGTCCCCACCCCCTTGTTTCCTCTAGACTGCTAAACTGGGCATGTGACACTAACTGCAAACTTCCTCCGAGTCTCAAGTCTCCACAAAAGTGTAGAGAGATATGGACAAAACACGAATGAATGGCTGTACAGTACTTGTTTTTAAATGCTTAGTTTTGTCTTTGTTTGGAAACTATTGTTTATTATTCAGGTAAGAACTCAGAAGGTAGGAGCATACAAAAGGACTTGATCTGCAGTCACGCCACATCCTGCCCAGGAACACAACAACTGAGCAAAATGACCGAACTAAAGGTGCTAAACTTAAATAAATAAACTGGTCACACCAAATATAAAGATGCATTGTGTAACTTTTCTGGTTGAGGTCTGAAAAAAATCATAATCAGGGTCGCCTCTGAACACATCTGATGTGTAACTTGGCTTGGTGGTGCCAGTTTTTTTGTCTCCATGGAAATAGATGCTTTTAATGCAGTACTAGTCTGTGAAGCATTCTGGACAAAGCAACAACATCTCCATGGAAACGAGGAGGTAACGGACCATCCGCCGGAAAAAGTTCACACGCGTTTGAGTAACCCATGTGTAAAGAAAAGTGCACCTTAAACTATGCTTACTTTGTTTCACGATATGCACCCCAGATATGCCACATAACAAAACCACACTTTTCGACTCACCCATGATTTAGTAAAAAGTAAATGTATAATAATGTACACAAACAAGATGGATGCTTACCTGGACGTTTTAAGGTGTTGCCACGTGTTGGAGGCTGATTTGCGCCATCAAACTTAAAAAAGAGAAAGAAATATTTTATTTTATAATTCCATAAGATAACACTGTGATAAGATAACACTGGGTTTGTCCAGATGAAATGAAAAGAGTGATTCATTTTTTCTTAGGATGCTGAGTCACTGTAGGATACTGTAGTATTCTAATTAAAGCCTAAAACTTAGGAAAAACACATATACTTGTCAAGTTGAATCTACTCAAATAAAATAAAATGTTCTTGATTTAAGTCATTTTAACTTACCTAGATATCATTTATATCATCTATAGACATTACTACTACTACCACTACTACTACTACCAATAATGATTATAATTATAATTTTATTAGGTGCCTTTCTAGGCACTCAAGGTCACCTTACAACAATAAAAGAAAGGTAAACAGATACTCGAATTGTACCCAGATAAAGCTGAAGTGAAGCCACTTGAGGACATCCTGGTGGAATATATTTTCAATGAAACAGTGACACATTTCCAGTGTCATTTGTTTGTAATTACTGTCTGAGTCAGAAAACCTTGTGTCTGAGCTCATGACCTGCTTTAGAGCTAATGCATTGCCCAGTTAATGATTATTCAATTACTAAAATGTTTCCTGTGATTAGTGACTCTGTTGTGGAAGTTCCAGAACACTTTGACCTCTTGATAGTGTTTGTGTAATATTGTAGACTCACCTGCAGACTGCTCATTGGTGGTATCAACATGACAAAGTTATCAGGAAAGAAGCCACAGCGTCCATTCAGCTCTCCCTGCCACCAGCCTTCATCCTCCGATTCCTTTAGACACAGATGAAGGAGTCACATCACAAATTCTAACATTAAAAGTGCAATATTAGACAAAAATGACTCTTGTGAGCTTTAAGTCATGTTATAATGCCATTACCTCATCAAAAACATACCTGGAGCTGTGTTTGGTTTCATTCACACACAGAGTTTAGTTTTTCTACATCTCAACATGGTCTGTTCCACCTTGTGATGTCATTAACTGGTAATATTCAAGTTAACAGCTACCTTTTACCTTTTGTTTAAAAGACATTGGCAATTCTAGGGCTGAAATGATCCAAATCATTCTAGTGAAGGAGTATGGAGTTTAAAAATACAGTGGAGCACTTCCTGTATTGCCATATGACATCACAAGGTGGAACTGAGTGTTTTCTCTCTGAGCGCAGAACTCTGGGGGGAACTCATATGTTTGTTTCAAACGTGTGTGTGAATGAAACAAAACTCAACTCCATGTATGTTTTTGATGAGGAAACAACATTAAAACATTAATAGTTGAACCATTGATTAGTGTAATCTGGACCCTTTAACTGCTGTGATATTTAAAGCAATACAAACAAAATGTAAAACTGCTTTTACTGTCCCTAACAAAAATATTGAAGTAACTCTCACCTACACACCTGCATATTTCTGTTGGGTTTGTTCAGTGACAAAAGCATCTCTCTGCAGGACTATGGGCTTTTTGCGTTGTATTATTCTTCTGAAGCCTCCTGAGTCAAATATATTATGCCCTGACTGTTGCTGTGATTATGACAATGAAATGTCCAAATAACACACCCCACGACACATAAAAATATACTCTAATTATATACTGAAAACCACGTGCCCAATAATTACTGGTTTGACAACTCTGACCACAATACATTATAGTTCACATGCGTTACAGTCATGGGCATTTCCAAAACAGGTGGACTTCAAGTGATTACTCTACTCGTCATTATATTAGTAAGAGTAATTAAAGGTCCTAAATAACGTGACATTGACTCTTAAGCTGTGCTCTAATTCTGTAACCTCCTCAAAAACTGGTTTATTAGTCTGTCTACTGTACATATTCAAAGCTCAAAATACTCTGTTCCACCTTGTGAAGCAGAAGTTTTCAAGTTTTTGATGAGGAAGCAGCATTATAGCAGATCAGAAAATAGTGTAATATGGTCCCTTTAAATGGTACCTTACCTTACTCAGGACAACTACCACATCTCCTTTTTTCAGCTCCAGCTCATCCTCAGCTTTGGGCTTGTAATCAAACATCACCTTGCAAAACTCCACTGTAAAAAGAATAAAATGAAATAAATGAAGGAAATGAAATAACAATAAATAAATGAAAAAAAAAAAAAAGTTGTATAAAGAAAAAGGTTAGGAAATCACAAATTCTACAAACAATAAAATATCCTGCCTTATTTGTACATAAAACTGTGATTCTTGTACAGGGTAAGATATCAGGACAGGTTTAAATATACACACAGAATAAATTGAATAACCTAATCGTCAAACCTAATCACAATCCTTGTCGAAAATAAAAACACAATTAATTAAAAATATTTCAGTTCTAGATTGCTTAGGCTACTGATAAAACACTGCGTGAAAAAGGGTCTTATCAATATTAGTAAAACTTTGAAAATAAAACATACCACTTTTTACTTTCTTTCTGATACTTGTTTGTTTTGAATTCTGTGGGGGAAAAAAACAAACATAATTGTGATAAAATGTGATAAAAAGAAATACAAGAAGCCAAAATTCAACTGTGAAATTGTTACTCACGTCCTTTGTAAAAAGAGCATCTGAGAGTTTAGGTCTGGATTTACCCTCATTTATCTTTGTATCTGTGTGATATCGAATTTGATTAGAGTTTAAAGTTAATGAATTAAAGGTTCTATATTACGCAAAATTGACTCTTGTGAGCTTTATGTCATGTTATAAAGCTGTTACCTCCTCAAAACCATACCTGGAGTTGTCTGACTTTATTATAAGTCTGTCTACATCTCCAAAGCTCAAAATGCTCTTTTCCACCTTGGGATGTCACAAAGTGGTAGTTTTCAAGTTCACCTTTATCTTTTGTTCAGCAGAGATGGACAATTCCAAGACTGAAATGATCCAAACTATTCAAGTGAAGGTGTATGGAGTTTAAAAACACAATGGAGCATTTCCTGCATTACCACATGACATCACAAGGTGGAACAGAACTCAGTCTAAATACGCAGGGTTTGTGTGTTCAACATGTGTGAATGAAACAAAACAGAACTCCAGGTATGTCTGTGATGAGGAAACAACATTATAACATTGATCAGAAATGAACAATAACATAATATTTTTTGGTTATGCTGTCTACTCACCTTTAACGATAATTTCCTTTACAAAGTTGGATGGAAATGCTCCGACTTTTCCATTTTTAATACCCATCCACCATCCATCTTCAATCTAATAAACACCATTTTGAATTATTTATACAATATAATATTAAGAAACAATGTACCCTATACTGTCTGAGATCTTGGTCACGTGAATGAAAAACCAGTATATCTAGTTGACAGCATGCTACAATGCCTTGGAACGTGTTATGTCAGTATTGTAGTCTTATCTAATTTAAATGACTACAGAGCATTATTTTAGACAGGTTTTCGCCTCAGGATCATTACTGGAGAATGGGCACTGTATTATATGACATCATTTGTGTCACCTTCAAATGCAGATTCATTTTCATGGACTAGTTTTAGCCTTGAAGCCCTATATTACATAAAATTGACTCTTGTGAGCTTTAAGCCATGTTGTCAAAAGCATCAAAAACGTACCTGGTGTTCTGTTTTGTTTCATTCACAAATGTTTGACTAATCCTGCCTTATGCGTCTGTCCAAAACTCAAAATGCTTTGTTCTACCTTGTGATGTCATGTGGTGGTAGTTTTCAGGTTAACAGCTACACTTTTCCTTTAGATCAGTAAAGATCAGCAACTCCAGGGCTGAAGTGATTCTACTGAAGGTGTATGGAATTTAAAAACACAGTGGAACACTTCCTGTATTACCACATGACATCACAAGGAGTGTTTTAAGCTGGAGAAAAGAACTCAGCCTACATATGCAGGGTTTGTGTGTTAAATGTGTGAATGAAACAAAACACAACTCCAGGTATGTTTGTGGTGAGGAAATAACATCAGAACATTTATCAGAAAACTGCGTAATATGTTCCCTTTAAGAAACAATAAATGTGCCTTATCTGACCTCATTCATGATGTCTATGACGTCTCCAACACACAGCTCCAGCTCGTCCTGGTTTTGGGGGGCGTAGGCATAGATGGCCTCACATCTCCGTGGCTGTTTGATCTTTTTTACTGTAAAATATAATATAAGATAAGCCTTGCAATATTTTTAGACAATAATATTTTACAGTGTTTTAAAGTATCAACAAAAATATTTAATTTGACATTCATATCCATTCAAATTGGATAACCATGACAAGTAAGCAAGCAAGCAGAATAGTTACTTTGTCTAATACTGCGTGGTTCCATTTTTGTATCTCCCCTCAAATAAACTGGCACCTCCTGTAAAGAAAGTTCATTTTTACTTTTTAACTCACTTCCATAAGATAACATTGTAAAACTATAGTGGACCAGACCTTAACAAAGTTCGCAGGAAAGATGCCCTTCTTTCCCCTCAGTTCTCCGTACAGCCAGCCTTCCTCTGCATTCTTGGTGACGTTCTTCACCACATCCCCCATCTTCACCGAGAGCTCGTCTGGCATGGTGCCCTCAAAGTCCACAAGCACCAGCACCTCTGCAGTGGAGCAGAAAATTAGATTTCTCACACAAGAGGCTCAAGAGCTTCGACTATGCTTTGCTTTTGATGTGTCCTGACATTCAGACCAAAGGACAACACATACACAGGAGAAAGACTATTGAAAATGCATTTTTTTCTATGTATACATACTAGTCCAGAATATTCTACTCTATTAATCTGAGGTTGGGTGATCAAAACAGTCAAAACAATGACAAAATCATTCAGTGGTCTCAAGAAATTGTATTATTATTAGATTTTTTTAAAAGGTGCACTGAGTAACTTTTCAATTGGGGATCCATCATCTTCTTGTTTCTAGAGATGTCATTGCTCTGCCTGGAATGTTCCACAGTATAACAGTAAACAGCCATACCTTACATTTATTAAATTACAACTGGTTATGTAGCTCAAAAATACCCAGAAAAACAGGCATTCTGACTGTGAGCAGGATCACCTTGCTACCAATCTGACCTGTAACTTGGTCTGGTTTGGTCTCCATAAAGATAGAAAGTTTTAATACCATACTGTGAAACATTCCAGACAAAGCAAGAAAAGCATTTGACAGACCCTCCACCAGAAAAGTTACACAATGCACCTTTAAATAAACATGCCAACTTACCCATGATTGGTGTGTTGTGTTATCCTCTTTATCGTTCAAAACAACAACAGAAGCTTAATATATATAAACCGTATGAAAGTATGTGTTCTTCCTAGTTGTCAAACATTAACACTGTGCAGCTTTCCTCCGGCTAGTCATGACAAGTTACTACCAAGAAGTAGGATGGGTCTAAGAGAAAGAGAGAGAGAAAGAGAGAGAGAGAAGGAAAAGGAGGGGTCAAAAAGGAGGAGATAAAGCCATAGGGGAACAGGTCAAACACGTTTATTACAGGAACAAAGCTCAAGTATGACTAAAGAAAGGCTCAGGCGTCATACAGCTGGACTAATTTGTATTCCTGTAACCTTGAGTGAGGTTTAGCACAGATAAGAATTCATAGTTTTGTGTAATGTATTTGTTATTTTGGCATGTCACAATCAGAAAAGCAGAAGTAGCTGAGTGAGCATGCAGTTGACAAACAAAGATCTACCCCATGACCTTGTATAATGTGTAGTAACTACTTCAGTGATTAAACTACACTGAAATAATTCTAATAAAACATAAAAATTACAGTGAGGATTTCTTATGAATTTTGTTTGTTTACACTTTTCCCCCTTCATTTCTACTGATGTAACCACTTGTAATATTTAATCCTCACTGTCCTTACTATTAACTTACATATACAGTAAAATTATAACAGTTGCCACAGTAGCGGTTGCTATGACTAACATGGTTAGGTACACACTGAAAATGAGCAGTCATGCTCAAGAGCCTGTCACTCTGTTCTAACAAAACAACAGGACTTACTCTCTTCAGTCTCAGTGTTCATGAGAAGAAGAAAAATAAAGATCTCACAAAAAAAAATATTCTGATTAAAAACATAAATGCAGCTCTGTGGAACAATATAATGAACCCGAACAAAGTCCTCCACAGACCCAGGAAGTACCATAACCCAAAGCCCTATGATGCTGCAAACAAACCAGGCCCTCAGGAGACCCCAGAGTCAGTGGAGCCAAGAGCCACAGAGAAACGCTCATATGATGCTCCAAGGGTTTGACAGAACTCAGAAGAGCTGAGGAAACAGGTGAAGGATAACATGCTCTCAGTTATCTGGAAGAGGGGTGAGAATGATTCTTAAGAGGCGCACCAAATACAGAGAGTTGTGGATATGGAGGAGCACCTCTGAGTTGAGCTAGAGGAAGTTAAACTACTGTGTGAATGAATGACATCCTGCTCTGTGAGCAATACAAAGGAGAGCTGGTAAAGAAACAGGAGGAAACCTGCCTGCAGGCCATTATCAAAAGCACTGAGAATATAAGCAGAGGTGGTTAAGAACGGCACATGCGATAGGTCCACATAGCCCCTCATCATAATGCAAATGTACAAAGTTACAGAATGACCTGATATGGTAGCTTCTCTTTTCTCAAGATTGTTTTACCTTTAAAAAAAAGTGACAAAGCTGATGGAGTAATGTATTGTTCTATTTTCAAACAGCACATCTAAAGGGAGGCTTTACTGTTCAGTATTAATAACTGTCTGTGCCCTGGGCAAATGCATTGTCACCTACACAATATTTTAGTCGCACATTTACAAATGTTATGACCTGTAGTGATGAAAGCCCCAAAACACAATACAGTGTTTTTTGTTGCCTTATAATCTCACTGGCAGTAACTGAGAATCAAATTGAACTATCGCCCAAATACATATCCATTTTTATTGGTTGTTCAGTGTGTGAAAATCAAGTGTTATCCATTTGCATTGTAATTTATTTTTTTTCCTGAGGGATGATGATGATGATGATGATGATTAGGGATTAATATTTCTGTAAAAGGTGTCTAGTCTGTGACGTGAACCAGTATGTAATTGGATTTTGCATTCATAATAAATCCATTGTACAGCAATACTGTTTCTGTTGTGTTGTTGGGCAAGGCACTTCTGTTCACCTATATTGCCACCATGTAACTGGGAGAGTGTCATACAGACAATAGGAGTGTCTATTATTATCTGGTTCTACTCCTGTTTTCATAAAAAGAAAAGCTATTTATACTAACCATCACAACATCTGCTTTAAAAAGTTTTTACTTCACATTTATATACATTTCAATTTTGAGAATAAGTATCAATCCACACAAGTATCTGAAACAATCACACTTAAAGTCATTATTAAAAACTGTTTTAAAGGCATTTAGGTCAAACCAATCAAAGAGAAGCATTCATTAAGATGGTATTAAATTAGTTCAGGTAAATTCTAATTAGATTCATTAGAAACCATATTTACAAAAATGATCAAGTGCCCCAGATAACAGGGCATTGTGCAAGATAATTCTTGTCATCTATTTTCACACTTTTTCTCATACAACAAACAAAAGTAAAACTTTCTAAAAACAAACAAAAACTAACATCTGTGCTCCTGTGCTGGCATCGCTGTGTTTACACAGTTTGGTCCCCTAGCTTGACACATCACACAAGATCACAATCAGAAAGGATCTGTCTCATCAACTGCATTTTGCTATTAAGCATTGAAAGCTCTGCCTCTAAATAATCAGTAATTGCATTCAAAATTCCACTTAATCAGTGCTTCACACCACAAATTACGATGCTTTACGGAAACTGGTTAAAAATGCCAACCAAAGATTTACAAAGAAAAACAAATGTAAGAACCCTTAAGGCATACAGTGCTTAGATAGTTTGCAGCTCACAGTTCATCTCCGTTCAGTGCCCCCTTTGTGGTTCTGTTCGATGCCAGTTTGTTCCCTATTGACCTGGGCCCATTTGGAGCCATTATAGTTGGCACTGCTGTTGGCGCTGCTGTTTGCACTGCTGTTGGCGCTGCTGTTGGCACTGGTATTGGCACTGCTGTTGGCCCTGCGAATGATGAATCGAGGTCTTCCACGCAAAGAGTTTACCCGCCCTCTGCCTCTTGTGTCTGTCCACCTGCATTCGGCTTCACCTTCTCTATCATCATGCTGACGAGAAAAAACATAATTAGGTAAACACAGCAGTTAAATGTGTGTTCTGATATTATCTGTTCAGAGAAGATATGCGCTCTTACTAAATAATATTTCTTGCTTTTAGGTGTGTACTCTGGGTCCCAGTCATCATGTTTTGCTGAATTTGTTGAAGTCGAATTACACCGAGAACTGCCTCTGTTCCAGCTTCGTCCACGGATTTGAATGTGCTGTTGTGGCAATTTTGCATTAGAATTTCAAAGAGAGAAACATTTAACATTAAAACTTTAAAATTAAAACATTTTAAAATTTTACATTTAAAAAGACCAGTGATTTACTTACAAATGCTTCATATGACCTGGCACATAAGGTTTCTTTTGCATCTGGTTTGACTCTATTTGACTCCTGTTCAGACTTCACAGAGGACGTATTATCTTGTTTTTTCTCAGAGGATGATGATGATGAAGATGAAGAAGAACTAGAAGAACGAGAGCGAGTTTTCTTGCTTTTTGTTGGGGGAAAAAAAGCTCATGTTTAAATACAGCTGACTGCTGATAATGAAATATGAATCTATTATCAGTGTACATACAGGGATTTCTTTAGGCACTTGGAAAACATTACAGTAGTCTTTCCCGTACTAGATTCAGGACGATCCACATTTTGCACATCTGGATCATGGTGATGATGATTATTGCGTTGTTCAATATCCCCACGAAGGTCCAGTGGGTCTCCTTTACTTTTCTCTTCAATCTCCTGAGCAGGTTAGAATAGAACACATAGTGGATAGACTTTGGGGTGCAGATGTACTCAGAGGGTCATCTGACATGCACTTCACTAAACCCTATCTCCACTTGCAGAAGCACACAACACATGCTCTTGACTTATTTTGTATTTTGACAGTCCAAAGTCTGGCAATAGAAAAGTTGTCTGTTTATTTAGGGTAAAACATACTTACAGACTTTTGCTTAGATTCCTTTGAACTGCAAGGGCACAGCAGCTTCCTTACTTTAGCCTGGATCAGGCATTTGCCACTTTTAATCAAACCCACATGTTGTGGTGACAGGTAACAAACAACAGCCAAGCAGCCTTATTTTGTCTTTGTGAATGTAGCATTCACAGCCCTCTGCCTTTAGCCTTAAGGGAGTGCAGCCTCAGGCTGGAGGTGGGCTCATGTTATGGTCGTCTGTTTTTCACACTCATTTCACACTGAAATGTTTTCAGTCACCTTGTAAGTGCCGCCTTCTGCTCTTTTGATCGCCTCAAAAATCTGACAGTGTTTCCTGAATGCACTCGGTGAAACCTCAAGTCTCCTGTAACAGAATGAAACATTGTGATGTTAATAGCTTTTTGTATTGACAATTTATCAGTTTTCCCATCACCCTCATAAAGATTCTATCATGAGGGGGGTAGAGCTATTTTCTGCAAAACCTCATTCACTCTGTTGTGTCCATCTCTGTCACATCTATCAAATCAAAAATAAAAAAGTTACTATTGTAGTCACAGCTGCCTTGGTGATTACTGAGGCAAGGCTGCCAATCCATGGCTGTCGACACCTCTGACCTCAAGTTATTACTCACACCACATTCATACATAGGCGAGGTAAGTGAAATCTTACCTATGACACAACAACAGTCTGCACTGGTCAGATCAGGGTCCAAACAGCCCACCTTTATGCAGGTGGACAAACAGTCTAACTACTGAGTTCAAGCTCTGCTCATGAGTAGATCAGCATCGGCATCATGGCCGATTGTTTAGAATCCAGAGGAACCGATGGCCAGTGGCCTCTGCCAATATTTTTGGGCCGATAAGTAGGGTCAATTTTGGTCATTTTCCCCAAATTAGAATCCTCATCCGTGTCATCCTCATCCTGTGTAGAGTTCAGTGTGGACACATTTTTGCAGTACCCTCTTTAGAATTAACTGTTCAAACACAGCTTTATATTTTTCATGCATATTTAAGCTGCTGGTGGGCCAAACAATATGTTGGTCTCTGCTGGAGATTTAAGGCTAATAGCAATACACTAAAAAATGAAAATATTGGTCCAATATATAGGTCTATCTCCTCTCATGAGCCACTGCTGTCCCATTTTAAGGGGTTTTTGAACAAAAAAATGCAAACCCCAAGAAAACTGAAAGGACTGGTGCTTTAAGTAGGTGAGACAGAAAAATACTCAAAGCCTTCAGAGGTGAAGTAGAAGCTATTGCACACTGAAATAGAGTAAAACAATAAAGCCACAGTACCTGTGTATTTCTGGACTTTTTCTTGGTTTTATCATTTCCCTCTCTGCAGCTTGTCTTTGGTACATGGTGAACCTCTCATTTAGCGTGAGTCCAGATGAGGTAAAGTGCTGAGCTGTGCAGGAAAATGAAAAGAAACTTGCCTTTAAATAGTCTGTCACTTTCCACTCATCTGTGAATGCTGGCCTGTGTTTTTCTTGTTGTTGTGCTTTGTCTGATTCAACAGATCAGTAAATGTACCTGAAAACATTGCATATTCAGGCACATGTTTGTAGTAACAACTCAGGGAACTCAGTAGTAGGTCTTACCTTTTATATGATGAACAATGGTGACAATGTGTTGGGCAAACAGCTCAGAGGAACTTCTCTGTACCTGCGCAGCCTGAACATGCTGAAAGATGGAGCGAAACTCTGTGTCTTTTTTGGACGACTGCACAAGATCCTGAGACAACTGCCGCTCTTTTGCTAAAATATCAGAGGAACTGAAACGAGAGGAAATGCATGATATATATGACATTAATATAAATATAAAATAAATGTCAGTATATTTACCACATGAGACTATCAGACGGGAAATCCAGCCTAACATTAAATGTAGCCTCCTTTTTTCGTGGCAAAACCTTAAGGTTCTCTTCAGTGGGCGTGGACATGTCTCTGCTCCTCTTTTGTGGAGTTATAGGAAAGGGCACAAGAGATGTTTTAGCCATGGTTCTGCCTTTACAGCCTCTTTCAGGAGAAGAATCTTCAGAAAAGTGAAAAGGCTCTCTTTTTGCAAATGCAGAAGTAAAAATGGCACGTTTCTCCTGATTTTGTCTGACACCTGGGTCGTCATTCGCAGTGTCAGGGCCACTGTTGGCAGCACAGGCTGCATTCTGCAGTTTGCTCTCAGACAGCTGTTGGACTGTGTTAGTCTCAGAGAACTCATTTTCAGTGATCCACTCATTCAGAAAAGGCTCTGTATGAGATCTGATCATTTTGTCATCTCCGCCATCCCCATTAAGAACTGGGGAAGCCTTCATAATATTATTTAAGGGCATTGCACCACTGTTGTCCTCCTTTTGATTTCCGGGCCTCAAGTCACTCTTAGTGGGAGACTCTTTTCCATTTACTTTTGATTCTTTCATATCAACAGTGCTGTCTGAGCCGTTCTGCCATCCTTTAGAATTCTTACTTTGCTCTTCCAAAAATCTAAACAATAGCAAGAGAGAATATTAGAGCACATAAATTATTCATACATACAATTCCCAAAAAAAAATAAAGTAAACATTTTTAAGTAACTTGTTGTGAGATTTTAGTAACAACTTTTAGAAACAATTTAATTTTACAATGTCAAAGTGAAAAAAATAAATGTAAATCAAGTACATGTGCCTTACTTTCTAAATGCAACAGAGAGTGCTGCTTTATCTCCATCCAAGTATTCCTCTGAAGAGAAGATGTCAAAGCTGGAGAGCATAGGGTTTAGACAGTCTGAGGAAGTCTTTGTTATTGGTGCATTACACATATTCTTCCAGAAGAGGGTGCCATTGCTCATGGTATTGGTAGTAGTCTGGGTGCTTAGTGCAGAACTACCTCCAGAGGTTGAAGAAAGATTAACTCTCTTTGGGCTGCTAACTTCTTTTAAAGGGATCCAGTTTCCATGATTCTTTTCATCTGTATTTTTTTCTACAGTAAGTGCTCCAGCCAGATCCACTGCCTCACCATTTCTCTCTCGAACAGGATTTTGTCCAGAGGGTTCTTCCTGCACCTGTTTGGAGTTTTTGTTTGCAGACGGTGCAGGTGTGCATTTAGGTGAGGAGTGTGATGAGGAGAGGGAGTGCTGTGAGTGTCTGGACACAGGTGAGCACGATCGGTCTGAGCAGTGGGGCTGACCATGACCAGGGCTCCTTGAACTGACCGGGCCATTGTGGAACTGCCCCCGTGAGTTTTTGTGTGGCTGTTTCTTGTAGTTTTTCCAGTTGTTACGGTTGTTGTTGTTGTTGTTGTTGTTGTAGCCTCCACCACCACGCTGATAGCGTCCACGCTGGAAGTATCCTCGCCCACGACCTCGCCCCCTGAAGTTATATGGTCGCCTGAAGCCCCCACGGTGGTGGTAGCCCCGACTCTCACGGCTGTTCTGGTATGAACGGGGGTACTTCTTGTCCCGGTTATGTGAAGGAGATCTGGACCGAGACCTAGATCTTGACCTAGACCGAGAACTGAAAAAAGATAAATTCATTTTAAAATGCATAATATAGCTTTAAGTCATCCTCTCCATGCATTCTGTTTGAAGCATTTTACAAATCAGTCCACATGGTGGCGCCCGTCAGCTTTTAAAAATTATACTAGTGTTGACAGTCTCACAGTATTTATTTTCCATACTTTGCTCTGTTCTTCTTCCTCCACACAAAAAGCAGACGTCTTTTATTTAGTCAAAGCAACACACTGAAAATGATGTGGTAAATATTTCAGAAATATTATATTCATAGAACTTTTCATATTAAAAAGTAATAAAATGTTAGAAATGGCTTGAAAATATGGCATTGTTTCTAATGACATATCATTACAGCTGTTTTAAGTATGCAAGCATACAAAGCATAATGAACATGCCATGTACAAAACACATGCAACACGCAAATGCACATGCACAGTATCTAAACAGCATTAAAAGTAACTCACCACTTGTGTTTTTTCATTGGAATAGTGTAAGTAGAAAGGGCAGTGCTCAGAGCAGCACCGCACACTGAGTTTGAAAACTATAGACTGTCTCTGCTGTGAGCAGCGTTACCGAAGCCCACAGTCACATGGAACATTTAGAAGGAAAAAAAAACTCCCTCTCTCTCTTTGACCCTGTGTTTGCCAGTTAGATAGACTGGTCAGTCTTTTGGTTACTGGAATGTAGTATGTTTTTGTCTAATAAACTTTAACTTATCTGTGTATTAAAAAAAAGCTTATACCCTTACTCATAACTTAAGTTATGTTATTACCTTTTTAATTCAGTGAACTAATCATTTTTGAAGATAGCTATTAGTTTATCCCCAAATTATGTTTCATCCTCACTTAAAAATCATTTTTCAAGTCTCAATCATTCTATGAGTTATAAATGGGGGTAAATCCAAACATACATACCTGTAGCGGTGCTTCCTGGAGCGTGATCGTGAGGGGCTGCTGGAGTAAGTGGACCTGGATCTGGAGCGGGATCGAGATCGGCTCCGAGACCTTGAGGCAGATTTAGTGGATCTGGACATCTCTGCAGCTGCACTTTAACTGTGGTACAAAAGAGAGGGGGCAACATCACAACATGGTACCAAGGCATGTGACAAACTGGTGTGTTACAAAGTCTTAATCTAAAAATACTCTTATATACTCTTTTTGCTAACCTTTTTCACTATACCACAGTTTCTTTGTAACTAAGAGTGGTACAAGAGAAAACAGAAATTGCAGTCTCTGAGACTTAAATACTGAACAGTATGGTAAGTAAGTGAGCAGCTTATTTTCTTATTTTCTCGTCTTATCACAGGGTGGTCCCAGTCTGCCCTCCTGCCACTGTTTTGGAGAACTGAAAGAGGAGTGTTTTTCCACCCCATATTGTTATTGTGCTCTCTGAACTTCCTTTTCAAACTTTAACTTTGGCACGCTGTATTTTTTGGCTCAAAGAGAATAATTTCCTGAAAGACTATCCTCGATAGAAGGCAAATTTGGTCTACTGCAAACACAGCAACAATGGCATGGATGTTAATCTTGGAAATATATGCAAACTGCATTGCTACTGGCTCATCCCCACTTAGCCAAAGTCCTATCACGGTGACCATAGTTCAATAGAAAAACGATGCTGAGATCAATTCCAAAATATGCATAAAAATATGCACTGTAAGAAAAAAAGCATCCACATATATTCAGTGGTGGATGAAGAACTCAATTTTGTTACTTACTTAAGTACAGATACAGAGGCAAAAGATTACCCAAGTAAGTAATTAAAAGCATCACATGAAAACATTTACTTAAGTAAAAGTGCCTGTGTAAAAATTTACTTTATGAGTAGCATTTTGCTGAGATTATTAGAACAATTAAAGCATTTTTTTAATTGTAGCTGTTTGTATGTATTTGTGTATTTGGTTTGCTTAAAATTGAGACATTAACTCAAATTAAATGTGCATAAGTCTCAGCCATTTCAGCATGTCTCAAACCATAAAGAAAAGTACTTTTCACTTTTACAAAAAAGTAAAAAGTATGCACTTTAATAGGTACTTAATTAAAGTACAGATACCTAAAAACTGTACTTAAGTATTCTACTTTTACTTTTATACTTTGTTACCTTCCACCACTGCATATATCCAGGAGTTCTGCTCACACGAGTCACGTTCAAATGCAAAAGACGGTTGATTAGTAGTGCTGTTGGAACTTCAAATGGCAGCTGCGTAATCCCCATCACCTGTTTATTCCATGTTGAAGCAAAGGCTCTGATCAACAATGGACTGGCAACCTGATACAGAGCTGTGAGAGAAGCCAGCCTCAATCAGAAGTCCTGTCATTAGGACTGGAATACCACAGTGGCAGCTGGGACCACAATCGCTATCTATATGTGCTCCAGAGGGACTCCCATCCCTGTTCCACAAAGCAACTGGCACTGGCACAATGTGCACTTATTGAAATGCTCCAGTCCTGTTTGGTTTTCCACCAAGACACTTTTCATGCCACTGTAGTTAATGGATAGCAACATGGGGGCAGCCTGGTTTCACACATGATAAATGTAGCTTCCTTTGTTTGGTGAGAAGATGAGTCAGACAGCTGGATTCCAAAAAACAGAGAGGCAACTTCAGTCACTGAAATACGCCATCCCGCACTTTTATTTAACTGAAGCAAATGCACCAACTTTCACACCTCAACATCGTTTTTATCAATGCAAGTAGTTTTGGGCGTTATAAAGGTCTTACAAGGAGTGGACTGGCAACGATATTTAAATCCTAGTTTTGGTCATTCATAGTTTTTATTTCAATCTCATTTTTCTTGTCAAAACAAATGAATGTGGCTTTCAATTAGGGATGGGCATGATTAATCGATTAATCAATAATTGATCATTAAGAATTTCATCGATTACGTTAATTTTAATCGACAAACCGAATGTAGGTTGCTGTGAGTAGTGTGACCAAACAGGGGTCCGTACATGTGTCTCTCTGCATCAGAAGGAGCGAGCAAACACAAACATTCGGTCAGTCTGCAATGTACCGAAGCACAAATGTGTATGTAACGATGATTTGCACAAGAAATTCCACGCTTTCCGTTGCGTTCGGGACAAGTGAGTCCGTGTGCACAGTGAACAAAGCAGCACATATGTTTCGGTGTCCAGTGGGAAAAAGCTTCACCAGGTGAGAGTCGCGCAATGTCGATGACGAGTCCCCACCTCCCACGCCCCGTACGGTGTCCTGGTTTTGACAAACGCAAATCTGGTCACACTAACCTGTATTCACCTGAGTCATGTCTTTTAATCCGACAGAAACTGACCGCATCAGCGACACAAGAGCTGTAGTTTTATTTTCGCTGAGTTTATGCAAATTAGCGATGCGGTTTTAAGTTTCGTTTTTGTGAGAGTTGCGCTAAACTGAATTAAACACATTATATAATCTAAAACGTATTGATGTGGCTCTTGAGTCGTTACGGTTTATATGTCGTAAAGTTGAATTTATTTATGCAGATTAGTAGTGCAGATAGTAATAATAATGATGATCATTTTAATATAAAAACGTTAATGATTAATCGATAATCGATCGTTAATTCTTCCGACGATCGATTAAGAAAATAGGCGTTTTGATTTGAAATAATTGGATTCACTCTAAATTAATTACAGCTCTTCTTTGCAGAGAGAAAACCTCCCAGCACACTTCCAAACCCTCTCTCCATCACAAAAGAGAACGGAAGATGAAGCTTCATTTCATCTCAGGGGTTGATTTTTTGATGATGAGCACTTTAGTAATATTAACATTTCAAACTTGACTTTGATCCTGAGGAGTCAACTCAAAACTCTCTTAAATAAATGAAAAGAGTTCACACTTATAAATAAGAACTCTGTATCCTTTATCATATCTTTAACTATATCATACAATATAATTTAAGAGATAGTTTCCATTACCATGATGGCATTTAAATTATTATTTTTTTGGTTATACAGTCTGACTCATTTAAAAGTAAAATGAAGATTGGGAACTCAGTGTGATACCATCTACTGTAATAAATCAATATAGAACATATGAAATAAATAAGTTAAGTTATATAGTTGGCTCAATAAGCTTGTTTGTGTGAAGGCGTCACAGTGCCACAACATCTGAAATTATCTGATCTGATCATCTCTCGGATTACGAACAAAAGTTCTTTACACCTGTGTTCATTAAGGCAGCGTAACTTGTAAACATGGGCTATTACGATTCATATCGTACCATACGAGTTCAAAGACTTACTGAGCAAAATGTTTAGGATACATCATCTCATTAGGGGCTGATGAAGGTGAGTTTATAGCGAAATAAAGATAATTTCAACTTCTGAACAGAAAAATAAGAAGGTCTAAAGTTAGAGCGATATCGATTCAGTGGACAAAATGAATAAATAACAACTTACCGATGCACGTATCCCCTAGTTTTCCGCCTTCACATCAAGTGACACGTCAACCCTTCAATAAAATCCCGATTCTTCCAAAAGCCAGAGTGTTGTGCCCGGCTTCTGTCAACTGTGCGGAGTTTGTGCGAGTGCAGCGTGTGAGCGCGCGGCGCGCAGAGGGGGTGTGTCCGCACGCTCCTGCGGGCTGCGCGTGCGCTTCCGCTTTCCATTTCTGAAACGAGAATTGTTGAAAACACCTTTCGCGCTGTGAACAACAACCTGACCGACAGCACGCTTCTAAATGTGTTTTTACCACCACACTGACTCGGCATTTGCTTGTGTGTGATTACAAAATGGTTAAATATCCAAAATTATTACCCTAAATGTATTTTTCTTGTTCTAAATGGTGTAGAAAGATAACCTGGCGAGAAAGTCATTCTAACGAAAATGATTTTAGGTGTAGATTTGTTTTGATGACAACACATGGACGTGCCATTGAAAGCATTCTTTATGATAAACACTGAACAGATGTTGGTTTTGATTCTGTTGTGATGCTGAATCAACGTTAAGTCAACTCATATCAAACATTAGAACATAGAACATTGATTCAACTAAATGAATTTACATTGAATCAACATCTATGCTGTATTTCTAAAGGTCCTTTTCAATTTTCAACCTTACCTTTAAAGTGAACCTTTAAAGGGTCCATATTAGGCTATTTTCTGCTCCATGTTATAATGTTTTTTCCTCATCACAAACATACCTGGAGTTGTGTTTTGTTTCATTCACATTTTTAACACCCCTGATTACAGTGACACTTTTACATCCAGTTCCTGGATTATAATTGTATATAATTGTATAGTAATGATGTCTTTCCCCAGAGAGTGAGGATCTTTCCCTACTTGTGTTTTAATGTTGTGCTCCAGAAGGCATACCCCATACAACCCCCTTGTAGGTAACACAGGAAATTCTCTGCTGTGTTTTTTTTTTTTTTTTTTTTTTTTATGATCCATACACCTTCACTAGAATCTTTTGGGTCATTTCAGCCATGGATTTGCCAATTTCTACAGAACAAAGGGTAAATGGTAGCTCTTAACTTGAAAACTACCACCACATAACCTCACAAGGTGGAACAGAGCATTTTGAGATTTTGAAATGTAGATGAACTAATAATAAAGAGATACTCAAAACATGTGAATGAAACAAAACAGAACTCCAGGTGTTTTTGAAGAGGTAACATAACATGGCTTAAAGCTCACAAGAGTCAGCTTTGCATAATATATTACTTTTAAGATAAGAAGGCACAAAAACAGAAATAAAAAAGCATAGTGATCTATTATGGGATGTTCTGTTCCTTCTGTAGTGTATTCCAGATTTTCATTAATCCTGAGAACAGCCCCACTGCCACTCCCACATGACATAGGAGACTAGAGAGAGTCTACTGCAAATAACTTAAACTTAAAAAAAATATATACTTGGAGAGCAATTAGTATTAAACTATAAAATAGGCAGAACATTATTTTACATTTTGTTCAAAGTAAACCATAATGTTGATTAAAAACTGCTTTGTATAGAATAGAATCAGGTTCATTTACTTCCTGTTTAAACTGCAGAACTGCCTCCCTATAGTGGAAATGCCAGCTAGCAGCAGCTTTTCATGTGTAACATTTTATGACTCCAAGTCTAAATGGTTTGTACTAACACATGCAAAAGGTGAAGTGGGCGGGGATAGGGGGTAGGTGAACAGGAAAAGCTTTTGAGCCTCAAATTAACAATTTGACAATGCAGCATTACTCAAATATAAATGAATTAATCAAAACAACTCTGAATAATCAAAGTGTACTTTATCCAATTTGATCCCTCATAAGTTTTTTTTTGTGTGTGTCCATACTCATAATCTATAGTTTTGTTGTTCTGCTGTACTTTGGTTCTTATATATTTTACATTTTTGCCTTGGTGGAAGAAGTACTCACTTTTGTTACTTAAGTAAAAGTACAGATACTGGAGCAAAAAATAAAAATAAAATAAAAAACTCAAGTAAAAGTAAAAGTACTACATGAAAAAAATCTAAAATACAAGTACATAAATACAAGTAGTAAAGTACCTTATTAAACTTGTACTTAAAGAGTAAAACGCAAAGAATTTTATTTTGAGTCCTTATAAGGCTTCATCCAAATTTACTGATTTATACAGATTTGTGCTGAATTTTGGGTGATAGAATTCTGAGTAGATAGAGTTAGAATAGAATATTTTTTTCCTAGCTCTTGTTGTTTGTATATTTGTGTTTGCTGAAACTAGACATGTGTTCAAATTACCACCCTATCCTGCAGGTCTCTGCAGGTGTCAGACAATAATACTAAAAAAAAAAAAATTACTTATTATTCCAATAAAAAAATATAGTGGAGTAGAAAGTTTAGATACCTGCTCTCAAATGTAGTGAAGTAAGTGTAAAAAGTATCCACTTACAGATATCTAAATTTTATACTTAAACGTGCACTATATCACTGCTCTGCCTGGAATATATTTATGAAGTATTTTAAACAGCTCTACCTTACATTTATTCAATTACAGGTGGTTTTAAAGCTCAAAAATACCTAGAAAAACAGGCTTTCTGACTGAGCGGGGTCGCCCCACCACAGATCTGACCTGTAACTTGGCCTGGTTTGGTCTCCATGATGATAGTAAGGTTTAATACCATACTGTGGAAAATTCCAGGCAAAGCAATAACATCTCCATGGAGAAAAGCTTTTGACGGACCCTCTGCCAGAAAAGTTCCACCATGCACCTTTAAGTACAGAACTTTATTATTTTTACTTTGTTAAGTTCCATTACTCATTTCAGCTACTTGTTTAGTGATCTTTGTCATATTTTAGGGCACATACTGTTACAAAAATGTTATGTTTAAATGTAGTTTCACCTGAGTTTAAACTGAAATCCTTTGCTGTCCTCACTTTTCTTAACCTTGGCTCTTGTTCCTCTTGTTTCCTCAGAGCTGAAGATGGCTCTTTGTTAGCGCCTGCATTATGACCCCTTGGCCCATTCCCATCCATCTCTTTGGCCCATTAGCCCAGTTTATACCGGCACCACCCAGAGACACCAGAGCGGTTATTTTGGGCCATCCCTCTGACACTTTCTCTCAGGGCACTGGATAAAAGACTTAGCCCCATGTCCTGCCCAGTGCCCACCTGTTGGAGTCATATCTCACCACTGGCAGATCTGATCATCATCACTGAGCCTTGAATTTGAAATTGCGTGTAGCTTTTAGCCTATATTTGCTATTGGTACTGATAGGCCTATTACTATAATTACTATATTGACTTATGATTCAATATATGAAAGATGAAATGATATTTTTAGGGGTCAGTATTTATCATGTGTACATTTTCTTTGCACTACTGGATATGTATTTTGTTATTTTTTGGCTATACGATAAGATTTGAGAACTTCTACGACTCATTACAGAAGCAAACTAGGTACTAAGGGGTAGATCTAGAATAGTTTTTGTGGTTTAAAGGTGCATCATGTAACTTTTCTGGTGGAGCGTCTGTCAAATGTTTTTCTCTATGGAAATGTTCTTGCTTTGTCTGGAATGTTTCATGCTATAGTATTAAACCTCTATCTTCAAGGAGACATACCAGACCGAGATACAGGTGTTAAGGCCAGATCTGTGGAGAGGCAACCCCACTCACAGTCACAGAATGTTTGTTTTTCTAGGTATTTTTGAGCTATAAAACCACCTATAACTAAATAAAAGTAAGGTAGAGCAGTTTAATGTCATACTGTGGAACATTCCAAGCAGAGTAGTGATATATCATAGAAGCAAACAGGTGACGGACACCCAACCAAAAAGTTACACAGTGCACCTTTAAATTTGCTCTTGGGTTATTATATCAGCGGAATTAGTTTCAGTATTATCGTTTATCGTCTATATTTGCTTTAGCAATATATCACACTTCAAAATGTGTTATCATGACAGGCCTATAGGCATTGACTTATTTCCGTTGGTGTTTTTGATTCAATTCGAACCATTTGCACAGTAATGTAAGCCATGTGCTGGTTAGCTCATGAGAAGAGCTCCTTTTGTCTTTCAGCCGGGATCATTGTGCAATAAATTTTGGAAAGTGGAGAAAATTCTGGTTTTATAATGGCCATAATCAAGCTAGCAGCTAGCATTATGGGTTTGGGATAGAAAGTAAAATATGTAATCTGTGAAGTAAATTACAAACAAATGTTTTTGCAGTTCAAAAAAATATTAATCCAATTAAAAAAATATGTCATAAATGTAGTTAAAGGTGCATTGTGTAATTTTTCGGCAGATGGTCCATCAAATGCTTTTCTTCATGGAAATACTATAGCTTTGTCTGGAAAGTTTCACAGTGTGGTATTAAAAATCTCTATCTTCATGGAGACTAAACCAGACCAAGTTACAGGCTAAATCTGTGGAGAGGCAACACCCACAGTCAAAATGCCTGTATTTCTAGGTATTTTGAGCTATAAAAGCACCTGTAATTGAATAAACATAAGGTAGAGCTGTTTAAAGTCATACTGTGGGACATTCCAGGCACAGCAATGACATATCCATAGAAACAAACAGGTGACAGAACCCTAACCAAAAATGTACACAGTGCACCTTTACGATATTACTGGAAATGTACTAATGTCTTGTCACATCATGATTTTCATGTCAAGCAAATGCAAATTAGATTTAAATCTCCCCGTCACGTGTTTTTGTCCATAGCCACTAGTTATTTTAATAGTTGAACACATGTTGAGTGTGCTTTTAGACAGTTCCATGACCTTATTATCACCTTCTCCACAGTTGGAATTCTGACTAATCATCTTATTAGCAATAGGAAAAAGGCAGGATTATAAGGGTTTATTTGTAGATTTGGCAATTAGCAAGTTCTTTTAAGACAGCCATACAAATACAGACTAATTATGCAGTCAATACTGAAATGATTAATTACAATTATTTATGAAACTGAATCTTTGATTTTTACTACTGCTACTGTAAGTATGAAATTGTGATTCTTGTCAAATGTACTTTCCCACCAGTATTTCACAAATTGTAGTGATTTAGTAAAATTTTTATTCATAATTATGTGTTTATAAAGCCATCCTTTTTTGACCTGTGTTAAGA